CAGTGTGGGCCACCGTGAAATTTATTGTGTCCTAAATCCCCGAGCACAAATTTGCAAAAGACGTCTTTTTCATCTGTCGAATTCCTCCTCTCACTCCTGTTCCACCCTGTCGTGAACAGCAACATCATGCACACACTCAATGTAAGGATTTATCCCATAGTAGCTTAGTGCACAATGATGGTGCATTTTCAACCCAACCTATTCAAACTTGGCTACTCGGGTTAGCCCCACTGGTCGATTTCACATTCACCACCGCTTTCAGTGCATGTTTATAAAATAAGATGAACTTCACGATGAAAGAGCAATTGCCTGGTACAGCCTCTCCACACTGATGGGGTCAAAACATTTTTATAGCACACCGATGGTGATGAATTACGGAACCATGCAATTTCTTACGGTATGACACGGATTTGACCTCTTGGAGCATACCGTGAAATAGGATTTCCAAACCAGCTTCACATTTAAATATGTTATATAATAGTAGTTGTAGAACATATACCCACGTTTAACACATTATAGCAACACTTGAGCAATATCCCACTACTTTCTCTGGCTACAAAACAATTAAATGCCATACCGATGGTTCATTCCCACTACTCGCAGAGATTTGCAAATGGACCAGACTATGTACATGAGGCATTCAGATACGTTCTGTCTGGAAATGAACAACTACTTTCCAGAATAGCCTTAACAACCCTCATAGATTTTTCAATAGGCTTGTTTTCAGAATAGTAAAGCTGAAACACTGTACGCATAATTCGTGTCAGAGGTGAACTAAAGTAAACAGGAGGTCTCCCACTCACGTCTGTTCCACCCGCACTCGGAAATTCAGAACCGAGGATAACTTACCGAATCGAGCAGGAATTGCAGATAATCATCTTTAAAAATGGTACAGTTTTATTCATCCCAGTATTCAGTGCATAACTACCAGCACAGTTAGCTCAGTGTTCTCATCATCCTAGGATATCCTAGGATTCTGAGTCAGCTGCCTTAGTTCCGTTAGGTTTTTGAACGCATGTTGGCAAAATGGATCGCTGATTGGAGTGAAATATCGATTGATCAATTAAAAATTGTGTAAGTCATGTATTATGTATTGTATTGCATGCGCTACCACGAGTTGAGCTGCGGGGCGCGGGAGGAGAAGTTGGTGCTAATCTATACCAAACTCAAATAGCATTTAAGCGCAGTAAATGCAATACTGAAACGTTACACGTTAAAAACGAATCGCTGATACGAGGTATTGAGAGTTTTGTTCAAATTTTGAAATTACTAGTTGGAATTTATTTTCACTTTGAGAGAACATTTTGAACCCAACCTATCAATTGAATAAATACTTTTATGACTAAATAAGCCCCGCACGATGGTTTCAAAACGTTGATACAATTGGCCAAGTAGTTGATGAATATGTATCCGTCTAAATTACTCCTTGCAATTAACATCAATGTTACATCTACGCTAGAAGAACCGGGTTTTCTCTAATGAGAGAAAACAACCATGATTTCCTCAAAATCTCTATCAATCCACTCAGAGCTTGAGATTGCTTTTAACATCGGCTGGACAACGGTGATGCACTCGTGAACCAGTTAACCGACACCGCTAGGGCTCCTCAAAACGGCATAGTTATCAATTCTGCGGTTTCACAATCACTTTCGGAATGTGTTTCATTTCTATCCAGGATGAACTGACTGAGATTGATGTCACTCAATTGACTGGTAGAGACAGAATTCGGACAAAATGCAGGCGGACCACCGGATAAGGTGAATCAGAATTGACGGAGTGTTAGAGAATTCAATCTTCATCCGAATCATCATCATCAATATCATAATCATCCGAATCATCTGAATCATCCTCATTACTTGTGTGCTACTGTCAGTTATTTTTCAATCGCATAAATATCTTATTACTTCGATGTTCTTTGCACAAGAAATGGAAATTCACGCTACCCACAGAAATGAAACAGGTTTATCAACTAATATGACAGGTTACATTCTTGCATTCGGAATATGAATTTCACATTGTCTCGTTTCAGGGTTCATTTAACGATTTCATTTTTAGGAATTGTTGTAATTGGATGCTGATAAGTGAAAGCTTCGCACAAGTCCGGTAGGGAAACAGGGTTTCACTGAACAGGTAAGCGTAGATTTTTAAGTAACCGGAAGGACAAATGACTTCAAAAGAATTAGCTAATTCGGGCACGGCACCGAATCAGATTCCTCGTCGTGATATTCTATCCAGCGAAGGCTAAAAGCTTTCAAACTTAGAGTATGCGCGAGTGTTTGAAAGCTCTGCTCACAGGACTCGGTTGCCTTTGCCTTCACGATGGGATACCTGGAAATTAATGAACTGAAGGGCTAGGAACATTCAAAGTGACAGATCCGAACAACGTTCAGAGTGTATCGTCATGTGATATGTTTTATATACGATGTCGGGACAGGTGAAAATAAGTCGACACATTAGTTGAGGCGACTGACCACGGTAAACGGTAACGGTCTTTGCAGATCAGCCTTGCGGTTTTTCTCCACTTTTATCTTGGTACTCTATCCGCCTTCTAACTTCTTCATTTAAGCTGTCCTCACTGGTCCTCCCAATGGGTAGAGGGATAGAAACCTTTGGTCGGTTTCTTACAAGCGCGGAACATTAGGTGATTGGGTAAAGCTGTAGCTCGTTTAGCACTTTCTGAAACAAACTTGTCCACCTCCGATGCGTTTCTGGTTCTCCTATATTGATATGGCTTATTTTGGTTTCCACTGACACTGAACACTTACTTAGCTAAAGTAATCCTTTCTATTCACAGTGATGAAGCATATGCAAATAACTGTTTTTATTAGGAGCAACTCCAGTTGTCTTTCCCGGTCAGTCAATGCACTAATCTGCCTCCTAAATAGAACTACTTTTCTTGAATTAAACACTGGTAACAAGATTGTAGAAGGGCAGATTGCACCTTCAGCTCATGTCTAAACAACAATGACTTCAGATGAATCAACTAACTTGATAATTTTCAAATGAAAATTTATTATGCTTACCCAAAAGCAATTTCATTGCCAATCAATCTAATTTTCAAGCGGAAAACTTGCGAATGTAGTCCGTGAGGACTAGTAAAGTTTTGCGGTTGAAGATGTTCTCTAATAATTGATTCTTTCTGCTGCAAGTTTATACATCAGCACAGAGAACATCCAGGTTTTATTATTATTATTATTATTATTATTATTATTATTATTATTATTATTACTATCACCCAGTAATCATTCGGAAGCTGAGAAACATTACTGGTTCAAGCCTAGTGTGAACACCCATTGCGCGACCGTGTGTCTTAAGTTCTGAGTTCAATTGTAGAACTACACACGTTCACTATTGTGAAGACTTTCTCAGGATTTGCTTCTTGGCTGATCTTGCATCTCCAATCAGCAGCTTTATAATTCAAACAACGTTGATGGATTTTGTTAGTATAAGTAAAATGTTCACCATTTATTGGTTCTAAGCTTCTAAGCTTCTGGAATGAACGGTATTCATTGGTTTAATTTTCAAACAAGCCTGAATCCAAACTGTGCCCCAAAACAAATCATGGTACGATAACCCTTGAGGGAAATAAGTTTCAATGATTTTCTCGAGGGCGATATATTGCCGCCGTAAGAAGTTAGTGAAGTATTACGTTATTATGAAATTTACTATTAATAATAATAAATTTCATTTTGACAATGGATGTGGACTGAATTTGTGGCATTCGTGTTAACCAAGATCACTATAATGACAGACTTTATATTTCGTTCCCGTGTCTCTTTTTAATGTACTCAACTGCTGATTACTACATTCCTTGCTTCTGTCTCCAGCCTACCCCGTTCCGGTCAAATCTGTTTAGGTAGCACGTTCTGAAGCTCGCCGATCTATTCACCAGTTATTACTCAGGCTGTTCATCATATTTTTGTGCAGTTCGGTTGGTTTATTTTTCCTTCGCATTCTTTCTGAACTTTAGATTTGATCCACTTATACCTTAAAACAACACTTGGTCAATGTTTGACTTTCAAGCATAGTTTATGTTCTTTTTTCTAATAATCCTTGATTTACAATCAATTACACTGCTATTTGGCCCCCGTTGAGCACTTGTATGTTCTCACTCATGTGTAATGGAAAGTGCTTCAAGTAAAGTTTCGTATTTTCTTGCCACTGTACTAACCTCTTTTTATCGCGCAATTGAAATCACGATAGCTTGCATTCATCGAAGCTCCTATTTATAAAATTAATTTAGGTCTGATTAGATGCTTCAGTGGTGAGCACCCGGTTTGACTGGTACTAGAGGATAAACGCAGACCATGATCAGTCTTATCCCCAGGCCCGTTATCGATTTTCTAATTATAAGGAAGCATACTGAAAAAGATATTATTACTTATTTCATTATTTCTTGTGGTAATGTTGACCGGAGAGAAATTACTTCTTTCGAGAATGGAAGTATTATTATTATCATTGTTATAATTTATTTCAACACGTAACCAATTACAGAGAACTAATAAATGTGCCACAACATAAGTACAAAAAGAAATCTGAAGAATGTGTTCATAAGTTGTGAGGGCGTGTTACTTCCCGGTTGCCCTGGTCGAGGAAGGGGAATAACCTTGGGGTTCCCACCCGAAGCCTTTGGCTAGAAAAACAGACCTGCAAAACAACAGGACGGAGCTCAGAGTTCGCGGTCCATTGGGGCCGGTGTAAACGTCATCAAATCATACGCCCTTTGGACGGAGTCAAACGTTCAAGGTGCCCTATACACCACANCCACAATGCCCAATCGAGCCGGTGATCACTGCCAAAACCAGGAAGGTGTGTGGTTTGTTCGCTTCCTCTTGATTGATTTGGAATCAGGGTTTTTGGCAAACTCCCCTAGGTGAAGTGCCCGGGGTCCACCAACCCGGTTATGGCCCCGGATGCCGTCTTTTTATCCTCTCACTTTGGTGGGAAAACACCACCACCAGAAGATAGTGAATAGGGCTTTCTCAGCAGAAGATATTTGAGACGCTTGGTCATATAGGAGCATTTCGCGAGGTGTAAGATAACGGTTACCAGCCAAATGCCAGACACCCACCCGAGACCATACTGAGGCTTTCGGAGACTATTCTATGGCAATAATGAAGTAACTGGTACGCAGTTAACGTTTTACTCCATCCAATATGTCAAAATACGATCACAAAGGATTTGGGTTTTATTCTAATTAAAAGTTAATCCACCCCCCACGCACACATTTTAATTGACAAATCGTTTCAATCACCAGTCACTTTCTTAACCCGTGCTTATGTCGATCATTCGTCATCACGTGGCCCCCTTGGGCACTTCCCATTTCGCCTGCCAGACTTGTCTATTCCCACCATGCCCCGTGACCGCCCTCCTCGATCCCGATCTGGTGTGACTCACATTGTCCTCTGATTATCTGGTTAATCTTAGTCGGATCGGTCCTTTGTCTCACCCGTGCGTCGCACTGACCCATGCGTGCACTCCCTCGTTTGCACTTTTGGTTAAGGCATATCTCTTGGGACACGCCACGATTAGAAATGTGTTTAGAAAATTGAAGCAATTTCCATTTCCATTGTTCGGAGTAGAATAGGCCTCGAGAATATTTGGACTCAGCTTCNTCAACGTTAGTCTATAGATATTCGTGCGGATTCAACAGCTTCATCCACATGTGCATATACCTCTACTCAAGAATTCCGAAGGGAGTAAATTCATTACTGTCCTTTCGATAGCATATTCCTCCGCGTTGACACATGACAAAATGTGAAACGAAGAAAATCCCGTGTTCAACGTTTTCTTTTCGTTCTTTATATCCTGTCTCCTCAGCATCTATTATGTTCCACTTGGCTTCTCCACACGGGAGGTGCAACTGCTGCCTACAATGGCAACGGAAATACGTCCTGTTTTGCTTTCCAATACCATTGAGACCATTTACCTTATTACTGGATTCTGCAAAACAATCTATTTTTACACATCGACCATGAAAATCCGAACTACACTATGGTGCATCCGGAAGGAACCGACTCGCTCTTTGCACTCCAGAAGGCGGTAAGATGAGTATTGTATTGTATTGTATCGTATTGTACTGTATTGTATCGCACTGGATTGTATTGAAGCTTCTGCTTCAGACAAACATTGGTATTCGACTGTCTACAAATGACGAATGTTTTTTATTAACAAATTTACGTTCTTATACTCATGAATCAGAACTATAGCACAATACAAGTGACCACAGGATAATCTGTTAGTCCTGAGATACAACTGCTTACATAGTAAATTGTGGGCTAGTGGTGGCGGGCAATCAACAGCCGATTTAGTGGGTGCCACTGAATCGCTGTTTATGGGAAAGGCGTCCGACGTTAGAAAATTGTATTTGGTGGATTTGCGTGTGTAAAGTGCGCTAAATTAATACACACCGAGGTTGAGTCAGTTTGTAAATCGAATTACAAATTACAATAATTTCACTTCCAGGACATCGTTGCTTTACACAATGGTGCAGTGGATTTTCAGAAAGAGGGGTGTGGTCAATCTAAGGTCGACTGGGAAAGATTGGTGGTGGTGGTGGTGGCTAGATTGGAACGAATCCCACAACTGCGCCAATATGTTTTGACCCCAACAAATCGTCTCCGACCTTTTGAATCACTCATTGCCATCAAGTGATGACATGAACGCATACTTGCATGCACGCATACAACCCGTAAAGAGTCTTTCGATTTTATCTTAAAGAACAACAAGTAGCTACCTAAAACAATGTGACTTGCATTTACTTTTATGAGGTTACAGCAACAATACTTCACCCAGTCAACTGGTTATAGCATTTGTTGATAATCATCAAAGTTCAATTAAAGTTTTTCTAACTGTGTTATTTGAAAGCATGTGAAGGTCTGGGTAATCTCCAACCGGTCACGGACATCTAAACCAAATATTTATTATTTGATCTCCCTGGACGGCTATGAATGAGTTGTGTTATGTATGTCATCAAATAGGTATTCTGAACTTGTTCTCTGTGTGTCGCGTAGAAAAGCGATTAGGAGAAGAGGGCAAGAGCATGATAGTTGGAAACCCTTGGTCGGTGAACACGGTCAATTTGGCATTGTAAGGCTTCTTCGTTCGACTTCTCGGGATCAGTCTTGTTGACGGTTAGAAACAATGTGACATTGCTATACAAAAATACAAATCCTGAAGTGATCAATATCGGACTAGCTAAGCAATTGGATATTAAAACATTTGCATGCCAAATCGGAGAGGAGGGCAGTTTGATTGATCGATTTTTGCTTTATTTATTGTGCATACGAACGTTTATTTAACATACTTGCACGCTGTATCAATTTTTACGGTTACTTCAATAATAATAATAATAATAACAATAATAATAGGAATATATTGCATAAATGCTCGATATTTCAAGGAATATATCTTCCATGTTGCAAAATCCAACGGACCAATGAGAGCTTACCTAGGTGATAAATATGGTAAGGTTCTTGCGTATTCATCTCCACAAACAGTGCTGCAATCGTAGATAAACAGATAATAACGATGAATGGTTTTCACACAAACCTAACGCTGTTATCACATCATGCCACAAGAATAGTCCCATATGTCAAGTTGGAAATCAAGACTAAGTCGCTATTGTCCGCAAACAAAATGTGTGCCATCTGTCAAGATCGATATGCCTGCTAAATGCACCCAGATTCGGTAGTATTTCAACATTTCATTTAGGAAAGATCCAATATCAGCTGAACTATACAAATACATACATATGCACTAATCTTCAGCTATATGGGGCCTAAGGAGTGCATCTGATCACACGAAGGTAGAATATGGAATCATTCTCAGCACATGGTAAGATTTCTGAAAATCTCTTTTTTTCATCGGACTTAAAAAAACAATTAAATAGTTAAAGATTACATTACTATTAGTTCCCTTGAAATCGTACTACATTACGAGTTGATCTCATGACATTTGCAGTCCGTAGTGAATGTAAACGAATGCAACCGTTGCTGTGTGCCGATATCGGGAAGTGTAGGACCGGAATTCGGATACAATTCTAGTTGTTTATGTCGAAGTACTACTATTCCTTCTTGGTTGAGCTATGTTCGTTTTCGCATTCCAACGCGAATGACTTAACTGGAGCCGGTGCCGTACGTATATTCAGTTTTAGTCTCAGGCTCTTTATAATCGTTAACCATGGAATTTCGTGCGCCGGTTTTGGTTGTTCATTTGGTTGAAGCATGAGGAGAAAGACAGATTAAGGGTGAGAGTATAGTCCAGGAAGAAATGAAGAATTTCAGTGAACTAGGGTTTCAGGGAAATTGCGTCGATGCTTGAACGCCATTTTTTAACACACTCAGCCATATCATTTAGTGTCTATAACCTCCGGTTAAGATCATCTCGAGTTACCCAGCCAGGAAACTGTGCCCCACTCCCCTGGTTAGGGTTTCCATACCATGGTTCCAGGCCTTAGATTGACCACCCTTGACCTTTTTCCAAACACAACCTACCTAGCAAATGTGGCACATCGTGACAACCCATCTGGTGGCATGCGTCACGAATGCCCCAACCAGCGAAAACTATGGAGGCCGACTACTCGTACCATTGGACGACCGGGGTTACCTAGGACTCTGCACGTAACCTCAGCATTGCTTGTGAGGTTTCCACACCAGATTTCTACATTGTTGCGTAGAAAAAGATGTTGAAACACCTACAGCCCATCTTTATCCTGTTTTATTTTATTGGCCAAGTTTACTTGGCGCATAGCAGAACTCGCCCAACTGCTGCAGTATACACTGGACCGTTTACGGTCAGCCGGATGTCGCGACGGCATCACAGATGTCTCAAGTTGGCTAATGCCAACCGAGCCTTCTATATGCGAGCAGAAACTTCATCCGTGATGCATCTGCCGCGTGAGATGTAGCTGCCCAAATAACAAAACTTACCCACTTGCTCTATTACTTCCCCAGTTAGTGAGGCTGCGTGCAAAACGCATAACGAACATGGTTACACTAGTGCTCGAGCTATCGAGAAGAGCTTGCAACTTACCTGGATCTTAACTTGGTGGCACAGTGTCGTCCGCATACTCCAGATCAGTCAGTTTACCACCTGAGAGTATGTTACACAAACCTTACGGTTAAGGAGCAGGTTGATCTGTTAAAATGCCTTTTGTTCAGCTAGCCATAGTTGACGTACTTCATTCTCACAAGCTTCATTCGGCTAAAGTAAGCAAGTGTTCCTCCGAATCCAGACAAAAAAAGGAAGCTTAGAATAAAATGTAGTGTACACATCTCGTACAGATTAAGGGTGATAAAAGTTAGGTACTCAAGAGAAATTTTATTAAAATCCTGACTTCTTACCTTCTACCGGTGTTTGATCGATTAACGCGTCTTTGAGGATTCGTGGTGGTGTGCGTTCCGCCACATCTTCTTGCAAGTCCGTATAAATCGTAAATGTTTTGTCCAGATCTAAGGAATTGAGCAAACGGATGCCAAGGAGAAAATGAATCACATGGAAATGGCAAATATAAGATAGTTTTACTGTGCTGAGAAGAAAACATAACAGCGACGATACTGCGCTATGGGTGCAGATGAAACGTGCTTTCATGAATCAATTAGTGAGTGTGACTTGAAGAACTGCCCTGTTGGATGGGAAGCGGTGCAAAACTCATTAATGACAAGTTTCAGTTATGTGAAGTGCAATTCATCAGAGTGCAAACACGTGCACAACAAACAAAAGTATGAGAACAAATTCATTTGGTGAATAGCATTCACTTTATTCCCATTTGGATAAAAGAGCAGCTTGATGATGAGAATGTTGAGAGCAGATTTAAGCGAAAAGTAGCGCATTTTCGTAGACTGAAGTTACAAGAATAATGAGTAGATGCATGAGCGCCACTCTTTGTGACACCCAGCCACATGGCTCAGTGTCTCTAACCTCCGGTGACAATGATCTCTGGGTCACCAGCCAGAGAACCTAACGGGACCTATGTGAGCCAGTCTCCTGGTCAGGGTTTTCATACCCTCATGGCAGTACTCAGCTTGACAAACCTTCATTTCTTTTCCAACCGCTACCTGCCTCGGCAAGCATTGCTCGCCGTGGCAACCTATCTGGTGACATGCGTAGCACATGTCCCAACCAGCCTAATCTATGGAGGTCGACTATCTGTTTCAGCGGACGACCGCCATTACCTAAAACTGTACGCCTAACCTCAGCATTGCTCGTCCGGTTACCACACCAGACTCGTGCAATGTGACGCAGACAGCGGTGTTCAAACTCCGATAATATATTTTTATCCTGCTCCCGTAATGACCAAATCTCTGCGCCGTAAGCAGAACTGGTCGAACTGCTGCAGCATATACTCGACCCATCACAGACAAACAGATGTTGCGACGGCGCCACAGATGTCTCAAGTTGGCAAATGCCAATCGAGCTTTCTGTATGCGCGCCGACACTTCATCTGTGAAAAGAGTTTCATTATATTCCATTTTTCATAAACTACTACATCAGAAGAAACGGATATGAAGTCAGTAGGTGTTTATTCTCTTTCTCATAATAATTTAGTAATGTTTGGTCTCATTACCCAGTCTATCCCTTCTTATTTGTCCCGTTGACATTCGCTTCGGTCTGGTTATCGATTTCTTACATAACTAAGCGAGTTCTTAGTTGTTGTCCCATACTAATGGTAGACCGATGCTCGATCTGCCCTTGTTCTTTACGGTCCTTTGCTTCTTCTCTCGTTTTGGCTAATCCAAACATTCCTATACGGATCTAACACTATGAGCACAACGCAATATTTCTTCAAAGATATCCCTTCAAACTTTGGAGGTGATACTTCTGCTTATCATTTATCGATTATTTAACCACACCCACACATGCGTGCATGCATGCACGCACGACTGTCGTTGTTCGTTGAGAGGTGGAATCGTATGTGCCCAGCTCTCTTATGATTGGCTCATCTTTGGGAGCTTCATCTCACTTGCCTGACTACACATATTTTGTTAGACTCCATATACTTTGATCACATTCTCTCTTTGGCACAGCGGTGAGCTATCCCCTTTTGAAGCACCTTGATTGTAAGGTGTATTTCGACCCAGCTGAGCACTGTCATATTCCTATTTGACGCACTTATATCTGGAAGTGCCTTGACGACTGTCTTTACTCATATACCTCACGAATGTTTGTATATTATTTATCATGTCATTGGTTAATTCGTATTATGAGTACCGTATCACTAGACAGTCTTGGTTTCATTGTGTTGGAACCAAGACTTTGCGCGTCACTTTACAACGGGAAGACAGTCTATTCTAATACCTCAGAAGAGGAATTAACAGCAGGAATACCGCAAAGTATCTGAAGAATATATCCAGTTGGTTTGAACAAGAATGCTTACATATTTGTATATTTTCACACAGGTCTGAGTTCGGACTGTGTGACAAATAGATCATGGTACAGTGTGATTTATAACCAGGGTTCACGATTTACTCGAAGACGGGATACTGCTATGTTGCTAGGGTTGGAGCTGGTGAGTTTTTGGGGAATTCAAAAATAGGATCTTTGACTAACGAAAACTAGCCTTGAAAGCCTATGAGGCGGTATGGGGAAACCGTAATCAATCGGGGATTAGGCGTACAAGATACCTAATGCAGCCATATGCGAAATTGACCAAATCAACACTACATCTTTTTCGGAATCATGGGTTTTAGTCAACTCCCAAGGTGAACTGTCAGTGGTTCACTGGCCCAGTTTCAGCTCATGATATTGGCTTTTTGTCCTCTCACTTTAGTGGTAAAATACCTCTACCACAGGAAGGCAATTAGTAGGGCTTCTGCAGCAGAGGCGTGTGAGAGTATGTCATAAGGTGCACGACAGGGTTGAGCAGACACGATCCAAGACATCCACTCCGACCATAGTGAATATAAATGAGTCTTACGCATGTGCGCCTTCTCAGTCAAAATAGAAATGTATCTGCGCATCAGATATAAGGTCGTTTACCTTAGTTGCATAAGTCGTCTATAATCTACAAATGTAATGTCCCTGTAGATGAAAAGTTTGCAAACGAGAAGCATGTGTAGGCTACCTATTCTAACACATTCACGGTCGGACTGAGCAAACCGTTTACCCTAGCAAATTATTCTTTTGAGGAAAGGTTAAATTAAAATTTGTATACAAGAGCTCGTGAATACAGTCAATCTCCATGGTGATATTTACCTCATTTGATGCTTCTGCCAACGAATTCTCGTTTGACTTGTCGAAACGCTTATTATATCTGTAACTGTTCTTGGTGAACTATAATTTTTGCAGTGATCCCAGTCAACCCAGTCAAAGTGGTGGATTCAGTTCACATGGAAGTAGAGCAACTGTGAATTGGAGATAACGTGTGTACAAATAATTATGCAATTTACATAAAGCTAGATGAAATTGGCCCAAATTACCCTGGTACGTTCGCGGATGTGTTATTCTTCCAACGAAGGTGATGATAAAAGCTAACCCCTCATCGAATTGAATATTGTCGATTGACGAACAAATTACATCCACAGATATATATGTATATCGTTAATAAAAGGAACTCCGGAAAAACTGGTGCTTCATCGCGAGATCTAATGATCTAATTTTATCATCAACCCAGTTCATGGTATGCAAGAGCTTTCATTGAATTTCGTGATCAGCATAATCGGATTCATCATTGTTGTTTAAACAGTCAAGCTCACCCAAATCAGATACAGATAATTCAGACAGTCTCCCGCTTGAGTTCAGGTGGTATGTGTGTTAGTCAAAAGTGTAAATGAGTGATGTGCTTCATCGGTGTTTTGTGGTGCAGATGAAGTAGATTACAATGATGGAATGGGTGAAAGTTTACCGTCGAAGTGGTGGTTCAATATATGCGGTCCGCGAAACATTACTGTAAGGGAGGAACAACAGTACCGTATATACAAATATATACATAAATGGGTATTAAAATTCTACAATAAATATTCCACGAACAAAATTTGAGTGTATTGAGATGACACACGGAAATTGCATATCAGTGGAACCCCGGCTTATGAGTCCTAAAGTCCATGACCCAAAGCTCATCAATACAAGAGTAACAGTGTATCGCATATGTCATTTTCCTCAAAGTATAACCTGTACTTACCCCGAACAATAGTCAAACTCGTATGTGGTTGTATACGGTCGAACTGAACGACCGGAGAATATTCGTCTGCTTTCAGGGTAGTCCGTTGTGTGACTGCCTCTTTTCAATCATAGTGTATATTCAGTTCCAGTTTTGACAAGAAAATAAAATGAAAATGTGAATTACATGCAACTGTCATTAATTAGGTTATTTATTGTGGTGGGATCAATAAAGGTGGCCCTGATTTCAATTCGTTCCAATTAGAGTGTAATCGGTCTGTCGTTTTCCAGCGTATGGTCCCTCTCACCCGTGACGTGAAATAGGTAATTTCCTTCTGACACTCTCCAGGATCTGATGTGATAATGTTCCTCGGGTTGAACAACCAGGAATTCTTCAACCTGACACCACACTGTTTGATCACCAGTTCGTATTGCTTATGCTCTTATGCTCTTGTTATTACTTGTAATGCATTAGTGTGCTAATGTCGCTCCTGCTGTGCACAGTCGAAGTTCACTGAGCACGCGGTTGTGGTCACCGCGCGGGTTTGCTGGGCAAGCATCCTTTTGCAGCTGAACCATCCGAACGAATGAACCCAATCGATCGTGTAATTGTCGAGCCATCACAGGGGAATAGTTTATGAATCCCATGCTGGCTGATAGAGAATCATTACACGAAAACCATTTATGGAACGATGCACCATTCGGGGTAGTTGGGAATAGAAAAAGTTTGTGCAATGGTGATATTATGCCCACACTTGACTTGTCTTTGATGCAGGCACTACTGCTCTGAACTGGCCCGGGAAACGGATACCATATTTAGAGATCACTCACAGTCTGTCCATTCAGACAGTTGTTAAAGAATTTATCCACAATGGGTATTCTATTGCTAAAACACGTGCGTAATACATCCCCCAAACAGCGTAATCTATGGAGGTCGACTACTTACTCCAGTGGACGACCGCGACTACCTAACATTCTACGACTAACCTCAGCATTGCTCGTCCGGTTACCCCACCAGACTCGTGNGACGCAGACAGCGGTGTTCGAAAACCAACAATATATTTTTATCCTGTTCCCATAATGGCTAGGTCTCTGCACCGTAGATGTAGTTATACCACTTGCAATTATTTTCCATGTTAACACCGAGCTACTTGATGTTGTCGACTGAACAAACGGAGCAGACAAATTAAATTTGAACCAAAATAGTGTTTTGGGTTCTCAACGACCCAACGAATTGAGGTTGTAGCCTTTTCATGCATACGGAAATGGTAGATTACCCATCAAACAACTTAGTATTACCATTGAAAGTAATTACAAATGGTATACTAATATCCCAAGTACTGTTGGCAAACTCAGACGTTTGTACTTCTATATCTTCAGGTTGAGGCAATTTTGTGCCGAAAAGTTTGCTATAACTTCCTTTGTTCAGCG